TCTCCTTTCTAGTAACATTCTTTTTGGAACTTTTAGATCGATTTTCGGGGTTGTTTTCTTAAGGAATCTGTTGCTGCTATTCCATTCATGTTGCCATAAAGATATTGGTTGACTATTATTTTGATTTCGTTATATGGAATTGGTATATTCGATACTGGGAGGGAATGTGCCATACTTGCCGCTCTATCCGCTTTTTCGTTCCTGAATATGCCTATATGACTTGGAATCCATACCAATTTTATTTTATTTTTATCTCTTACTATAGTCTTACTAATAAGTTTTGAATTTCTATTATTAATGGATTGCTGGGCTTATAATGGTCTATTGATATTAAGCTGGACAAGGAGTCTATGAAGATGATATATTCTTTATTAGAGGTATAATTAATATGATTTATTGCCATCTTTATTGCTATGAGCTCTGCCGTAAAAATTGAAGAGTAAGCTGGTAAATGTTGTGTTAGGGTTGCCTTTTGATCGGGGATAAAAACTGCTGCTGATGTGGAATTTCTTTTTTTGAGCCATCTGTATAAATTGTTTTCGATTGGGGATTATTTAAAATTATTTCATGATATTTAATTTTGCATAGGCTTGAGTTTTTGTTAGAATCATTAATTGAGAGATCTATTTCTGGATGTTTCCTTATCCATGGGGCTACCTCCGGTTCTATTTCCTGCATTATTTTTGTTTGCCCCAGAATTTCCAAGTGTTTCCCTAATCTTTTGTTTATCGCCGGTATTGGTTTTGACTTTTTGGCATTCATATTGTCTGTTGTTGATGTGATATATTTGAAGGCTGGGTTATTCCTTTGTGATTTTATTTTTAAGTAGTAGTTTATTGACATCTTTAGTTGTTTTAAATGTCTTGGCGATTCTGCTGCCTGGACATGCATACTTTCTGATGGGGATGTGTGAAAAACCCCAAGACATCTTCTTAGTGCTTCGTTTGTAATGGGTTCTATGGTCTTGATGTAGGAGTTTCTTGTTGCCCCATACACTTGAAAACCATAATCTAAGATAGCTCGTATTGTGGCTCTATAGATTATTAGTCGGTTGTTTTGGTCAGCGTCCCAATCAATCAATTTTCGTTTTGCGTCCAGAGACCCGGTTTCCCGAGGTAGGACGTCCCAATAATGGTGCGATATTGCTTTAAGAAGGTTAAGTCCTTTTTAACATTTAGCTTTGACTTCGATAATGTGGGGAAGGAAGTTAAGTTTGTTGTCCTTTATGACTCCTATAAATTTGTGTTCTGATTCGTATTTTATTTCTTCCCCTTGAAAAATTATTTTTGGATATTTTGAAAACTTAATTCCGTTTGTCATCGACCGACTATTTGTTAATGTCAATTAGGATTTTGTTAGCATTATTTTCGATTTGGGTGGAGTTTTTATCTCTGATAGTTATTGCTAAGTCATCCAAATACAAACATGTAAAGATGTTTTTTGGGGGCTACTTGATTGATTGAGTTGATGTTGAGACAGAGAAGTGTAGGAGACAGAATGCTTCCCTGAGGGATACCCATCTCTAGATGCATAACTTGTGACAGTGTTGTTCACCTTTACTTGAAATGTGCGGTTTGATAAAAAACCTTTTATGAATTTGGGTAGAAGGCCTCTCAGGCCTGCTTTATGAAGGTTATCCATTATAACATATTGCCATGTGGTGTCGTATGCTTTATCTACGTCGAAAAAAATTGTTAAAGTTTGTTCATTATTAGCAAGTGCATTTCGAATGAAGGTTTCTAAGGACACAATATGGTCTAACGTTGATCTTCCTTTTCTTCCTCCACATTGTGTGCTTTTGATTATATTATGTTTACTGATATACCAGGCTAGCCTATTTATTATTTTTTTGCATGTGCAGCTAGCTAGGGATATAGGTCTGTAGCTGTCTGGTTTGTCTTTTGGTTTTCTTAGTTTAATGAAAGGTAAAATTATTGCATGGAGCCAAATTTGAGGAACTTTTGAGTTTAACCATATAAAGTTATAGGTATTCAACAGTTTTTCGGCTACTATTGGAGGAATAGTTTTTAATATATCGTATGTTATTTGATCTTTACCTGGAGAGGACTTTTGACTGCTGCTTATTTCATTAATCATTTCCTTGTAGGTTATTGGTAGGTTTAATCTTCATTATTGTTGGATTCAAAGTCTAATATGACCCTTTCTTTGCTTTCTTTGTGGGCTATGAACGCGTTGTTATGGTTCGTAGCTACGGATTTATTTTGAAATGATTGACTAGTGTTGTGGCCATTGAAGTCTCCAATAATTATCAGTTGTTTAGCTAGTTTATTGATTACTTTTAAAATGATTTCTGACTTCATCGGTAAGTTTGGAGGTGCTTTTGAGTATGTTGTATAGTGTTTTATGTCTATAAGTTTGTTTGGATTTAATTTAGTCTCTTGTAAACATATAATTTGTGGTTGTTGTTCGTTTATTAGTATTTGTAGTTCGGGAAGATTACTTTGCAATCCTCTGATATTCCATTGAATTCTTTTTATCTCATCTTCTGTTTGGTTGTTTTTATTTTGTATCGAATTTTTTATCCATGTTAGCTATGGGAAGTTTTGAGTATTTGTGTTAGGTTGCTTCCTCTGTTTCGTTCATTACTTGGAGAATGTCCTTGTCACAGCTACTATTATGGTTATTTGTGTTAAAATTATTATCTTTGTTGTTATCATTATAATTGTTATTACCTTTTTTATTGTTATAGTTATGACTATATTCACTCTTATTATTCTTTATACCATCATCATCGCGACTTCCACCATTATCTATACCTTTACTTTTACTGTTAAGCTTATTATGGCTACCATTATTATTATTTGTATACTTATAATCGTTATTGGCATTTCCATTTTGACTATCGCTAATATTTTTACCACTTTTGTTTTTATCCTTATTGTTATTGAAATTATTTGTATTATTATTATTATTCAGATAGATATCTTTTCCTTTTTTTGAGAGTTTAAGAGGTTCAGCTGGAGTTATGACACATGAAATGCTCTTGTCAACTTTTTGGCTGACCTCTTTCGTTACGTTTGCATATGTTCTTTGGTGTTTTATTTTTAACTATTTGTTTGGCTTCCGGATAAGATATTTTCATAGTTATTTTAGTTTTTATAATCTCCTGCTCCTGATAAACTCGACATTACTTGTCATAGGTAGGATGTTTCTCTCCACAATGGTAGCACTTTGATTCCTTGTGACATGGCTTTTCTTTGGTGTGTATGTGACCTGTTTAATCGCAGTTTCTACAAATTGTTTGTTTATTGTTGCATATATTTTTGTGATGACCATATAATTGACATATAGTGCATCTTGTTGGATTGGGAATGAATTCCGTTACTTTGATTTTCTCATATCAAATTACAATTGAGTTTGGGATGACATGAGATTGGAAAGTTAATATATATGTGTTGGTTTTAATTAGTTGTTTGTTTTTCTTAATAGAAATGTTTTTAGCATATATAACCTCTTGTGGTTTTAATTCCTTTTTTATCTCCTCTTCTGAGCAGTTTCTTAGATGACTTGTTTTTATCACCCCCTTTGTGTGATTTAGAGATCTATGGGGCGAGTATCTTACTTTTTCTGTATATATTTTTGTTAACATTTCTAACTTTTCCCCTTGTTTTGCATCTTTGATCTTATTATTTTATTTTATTTTATTTTTCCCTATTTTTATGTTGTCTACTTCTCCCACATGAGCATAAATTTCCCTTTGATTTTGGAAACATGTTAACTTACTTATGTCATAGTCTTTTTCAGCTTCAATTAAGTGGAAGGTCGGATGCGAAGGGATTTGATTTTCCATGATTAGCTCGAGTGAGCCCATTCTCACTTTTTTCATGTTGTGGCTTTGAGGTGAGATTTTCCTGTAAGACAGGGTCACCAGAGCCGGTGCTTTAAAACACCCTAAACCTGCGAATCTTTCATCAAAACTGTTTTAATGACTTAGTTTATTAAACAGGAAAAAAAAATATTACGACAAATTTTGAAAAAATTAATTCAACAAAGCGCTTTCGATATTTTGTTTAAATTTTTTGACCAAACACAAACGTAAATTAAAGTAGTCCAGACGAATTATCCGGTTGTATAAGGAATAACATAACAAAAACCTTTTGCTATTATTTTATATTTTATTATAAGCACTTTGTAGCTTAACGATCGTCCCTTGGGTGGCTCTGAAAAGAACCTTTTGTTGCGAAATTCTCAAACTGGATAAAATATCCTCATAAGAGTAAGCGCCCTTTCAAACTTATCTTCCTTTCTGGCAATGCTCCCATGCCACATCAATTTATCCAAATAGGAGGACAAGTGGTTATCACATGTTCCTCTCATTCTTTTGGACTTGTCTTTGACGCACCTCCAAAGATTTTCCACGTTATTCTGATGTACAACGCTATAGGAGCCTTAAACGTCCTTGAATGGTTGACAGTGTCATGTTGGTAGCCAATATTACCGTTGGCATTGTACGCTCCCCATTCATAAGACCATTTTGTTGTACCTGTTAAACAAACATAATGAACATGAAACGTATTTAAGATTTGATTCATGAAATTTAATTTACCAGGCATAATATGACGTTGAATTAAGGAGAGCGACGTCGCGGCGTCTCTTCTCTCAACCTCAACTAGGAATGCCTCGTTGGTGTCCTGGTCAATTCCACCAAAGACCCATCTTCAGCGTCTTGCAGCACCATTTCGAGTTCTTTTTGAACTGCTGACTATATTCTCGTCAATCTTGACCATGTGACCAGGACTCCCGATTTGCATAGGTTGAGCGGCCATCCATAAAGAGCACAGCTTTCGCAAAAAATTGAATTAATCAACTATGGAGTGTTGCGATATCTGCGAAAGTGTTGATTCAGTTGTTTGTTGTATGTCGTTCAACGACCAGTAAAACGTTATCGAGTTGGCGCCGACAGACGATATATGATAAAAAATCGTGATCATGGAGATATATAATATGGATATGGCAGACGCGTTATTAATATGTACATTGTTCATATATAACATCAAGGTCAATCTAACAAATATTTGTTGAAAAGTGAATTTAAATTAAAGTAAACAATCAGTTTTTAGCCGGTTGTTTAGCGATTACCGTTCTAGTTTCTTTTTTTGCCAATTTATTGACTTAATTAAAAAATTTGTCTATAGTAAGACGTTTGATCGTAAAAAATCAATAAAATGTCATTTACTACAAAAAATGTTTAATGCTTACGCGTTTAATTCCATAGAACTAAGAAAAGCTTTTAGGCAGGTAATAATTTATGCCATATCCATTTGTCCATGATCATGATTCATGCTTAAATTAATATTTTAAAATTTTTATTAAAAAATATATTGAAATATGTATGAAATGGAAAATAAAAGTGTAACATTTAAATTTTTTCTTTTTAATTTTAAATTTATTTGAATAAAGAAAATACAACACATTTTTTGTTTACTTTTCTTTGTTTAGTCTATCAACATATCATTGTCAAAACAAAAAGTGGGCGGAGTTACGGCGTATTCATGATTACCAAATTGTTAATTAATTATGCCACCGAAGTTTCGTAAAGATTTTAGTGAGAGTTCTTCTAAACGAGAGCAGGTATTTTAGATTTCATTTTATTTTATATTTCTAATTCTTAAATACCTAGCTTAGTTTAGTTTTAGCTAAGCCTGATTTGTATATTTTAATTTTTAATTAGTTTATTAATTTATGACTTAAGTAATAAGTTTGTTTAATTAAACAACATTAACAGATTAAATTAACTCAACTGTTTAACTGTTAAGTAAACAGTTTGATAATTAGGCACTCCTTAAAAAAACGGGACACCTATGTTAAAATTAAAACATTTAATTCTTATACATTTCATAGTTTTTATAGCAAATCGACCATGCTGAATTCAATATTTTATATTACAACAATATTGCTCAGTTGCCAGTTATACTGGTTTATCAACACAATACAGTAAACCACAAGCAAAATTTTGTTGATCCTGTCAGTGGCGAGCACACAAATCATGTTGAATGTTACTGGAAGAACTGTAAAAAGAAGTTCAAAACAATGTGCAGGGTTCAAAATTCTATGCTTGGTAGTGGTAGTCACTTGGACGAATTTCAATGGCGTGAAATTCATGTCAAACAGACCCAGATGCACTTAGAAAGTTGTTTCAACATTTAGCTCAGTGGCATCCATTGCCTTAGTAATACTTTGATAAACTTTGTTGTTTTGTTAAAATAAATGTTCTCATCCATTCTTATGAAATGAATAAGAATTTAATGTTTTAACATAGGTGTCTGTGGCGTGCACATAAATCATGCTGAATGTTACTGGAAGAACTGTAAAAAGAAGTTTAAAACGATGTGAGGTGTTTAAAATTCTATGCTTGATAGTCACTTGGACGAATTTCAATGGCGTGAAATTTATATCAAAACGGACCCAGATGCACTTACATTCATTGCCTTAACACTTTGATAAACTTTGTTGGTTTGTTGAAATAAATGTCGAAATTGAATTCAGCATGTTCGATAGGTGTTTCCATCCATTTTTATGAAATGTATAAGAATTTAATGTTTTAACATGAGAGTCCCATTCTTTTAAGGAGTGCCAATAATTATTAATAATAATTTATTATTATATTATTTTTTTTATTAATCTTTTATGTTTTTGTTTTGCTTGCTGTTTAAAAAAACTTGATTTATTATTTCTATTTGTTTTAGCATTTTAAATTATAACTATCTATAAAATAAGTTTTTCTATAAAAGAAAAACTGTTAAATCTGAAGATTAGCACTAAGTTTGATTTGAATGTATCAAATTTAAGTTTGTTTGTTTTATTTTTTTACTTTTTAGACATGCAATTAAAAAAGTTCCTTTGACATTGTGATTAAATTAAATATACAGTGCTTTTTATTTTATCTTTATCTTAGGAAATCTTAGTTTAGCATAATTATTCATGATCATGCTAAAAAATTGTTTTTCATTTTAGAATATGCATCTTTTGCCATAGCTGTTTAGATGTTTGTTAACTTATTTGATTTCGTCAATTTTCTTTCAATAAACTTTTGTTGATTCAATAAAAATTGATGTTATTTCATTTTTATGTTTTATTAATCCATCTATGTTTTAATTATGCGTGTTAAAAATTGTCTTTGTTGCTGCTTTACAAACCTCATTTTCATTAATATTCATTATACATATAACTGCATCAAACCTCATTTTCATTAATATTCATTATACATATAACTGCATCCATGCCGCCTTCTGTGCTTTTGAGCAAAAGGCTAGGCCCACCGATTATAACTGGTGGTTGTCATCAGGATGGGTGTCCAGATGTAAAAACTTTTCCCCAAATTACTCTTATGCCATCACAAAGAAAAACAACGGCCCATCCCCAGCAGGCCTTAAGTGGTCAAGGGGGGCCAAGAATTCCTGGGAAATATGCAATAGCGGAGGGATGTTGCAGATAAATTCAGAATGGCCCCTCTATGGTACTTAGACTTGGAACGCTCAATGTTGGATCACTGAACTGGCCGCAGCATGGAAATCGCAGAAATGTTCTAGCGTAGAAGGATTGACATTTGATGCCTTCAGGAAACCTGATGGAAATCGAATGGTGTCTGTCATGTCAAATCAGACAAAGAAATATATAAACTATTCAGGAATGGTCAAAAATGGTGTTGGAATTTTTATCAGAGAACCGCTAGCCCAAGAAGTATTGGATATTAAAAGGATTAATTCACGTCTCATGTGGATCAAGCTTCGCCTAGAAAAGCAAACAATGAATATTTTTTCTGCAAACGCACCACAGACAGGCGAATCAGAAGAGATGAAAAATGACTTCTGTGTTCTGACAACATCTCAACAATGCCAAAATCTGAAACAATCCTGATTGGAGGCGATCTCAATAGCCACGTTGGAGAGAAAACAGATGGTTTTGACAACGTACGTGGTGGTTTTGGCTATGGGGAACGGAATGAAGATGGCAACCGCATACTTGAATTTGCTTAAAGTCACGGGTTTTGTTTACTGAACACGTATTTTAGAAAGAGGTTGGAGCATCTCATAACATTCAAAAGTGGACCATAAGCCACCCAAATTGATTTCTTCGCTGTCAAGCAACAACACCGAAGGCTATTTAAAAACGTCAAAGTTATACTTGGCGAATCATGTGTCACCCAACATAGACTCCTTGAGGCAGACCTGGTTGTCGAACTGTCAAAACATAAGTCTAAACAAATGCCTCGGAGAATCAAAACGTGGAAGCTGAAAAACAATATTCATCAAGAAAAATTTCAAAAGATTGTCGCAACACAGACCACCAATCGCAAGCCAGTACAGATTGGAGTACATACAAAACCGTTTTGATAAACGCTGCAACTACAGTTTGTGGGAAAACTGGTACAAAATGTCAGCATGAACGGGACACTTGGTGGTGGAATGACAGTGTACAAAATGCAATAACTGAAAAGAAAGCTGCATACAAGCAATGGCAAAAATCAAAGTTTGTTGATGACCATAAAATTTTCCGTGAGAAGAACAACTATGCAAGACGTCAAGTCGCACTGGCTCGGACAGATCAGTGCAGAGAGTGGTTAACTAAAAGCAAAGGTGAACAAATGAAATCTCTGTATTGTATAGCAAAACAAGCAAAGCGTACGAAAAAAGACATAGTTGGTGCCTCATGTATCAAAATCGACAAAAATGAGATGGTTCTCAAACAAGATGAGATCAAGCTACAGTGGAGAGAATACTTTAACCGTCTGTTAAATGAAACAAATCCCATCAATGTCAACTTTGATGATCCACCCATCGAAGTTCCGATTCCAGACATCACTGTAGAGGAGCTTACAGAAGCTCTGAAAGCTATGAAGGATGGAAAGGCAGCAGGGCCCTCCGGACTCACAAATGACATTATCAAAGCATCTGGTACTGCAGGTATCCAAACGTTACTACAATTTTGCCGTGAAATCTGGAAAAATTGCTCAATGCCGCCTGAATGGAACTATAGCATGACAGTCCCGCTATACAAAGACAAAAGTGATCCATTGGAACTGTTCATCATATCGGGGTATACGTCTGTTAGAACACTTCCTGAAAATTGTCGAGAAAATCATTGAGAGAAGATTAACGTCGTGCATCACAATCGGAAATTATCAATTTGGTTTTCTAGCGGGGAAATCAACAATTGATGCAATTCACATCCTTCGGCAACTGCAAGAAAAGTACCTCGCAAAGCATCAACAACTATCACACATTTTTTTAGACTTTGAAAAAGCATTTGATCGAGTTCCCCGTGAAGCAATCACGTCGACAACTCATTCCAGAATATCTTGTTCGACTTGTGATGGAAATGTATACGAATACTAAGACTCTTGTCAGCACAACGGTTGGAAACACAGATACATTTGACATCGGCGTTGGGGTTCACCAAGGCTCGATTCTCAGTCCACTGTTATTTATAACTGTGATGGAAGAAATCACAAAACCAATACGCACTGGTGATATTTGGAATCTAATATATGCTGATGATATCGTTTTAACAGTCACGTCTGAGCAGAATGCAGCACAGATGTTTGAAGATTGGAACACCAGATTCGCCGATCATGGATTCAATGTCAACATCAGCAAAACCAAAGCAATGAACACTGGTGAACCCATCCAATCCACAGCTACTGTTCGATGGCCCTGTTCAGTTTGTAAAGCTAGTGTAGGTAACAATTCAATCAAGTGTCAGCAGTGTAACCAGTTGTGTCACAAACGTTGTTCAAAAATAATTGGTACTTTATCAAAAGTGTCCAATTTTGTTTGTCCTGCTTGCATCAATCCACAACAACAAATTCAAAATAGCAATGTTTTTGAAGCCATGTAAGGTAGAGATGGTTTGGTCATGTCAAACGAAGTGGAAACAGTGCCATAACTACTCTTGCATATGTTGAAGTACCTACGCCGCATCAGTACCGAGGCAAGAAGGTGCCATCTGCCCCACGCCGCACGTGTGAGTCCACGAACGGCGGCATCAGCTGTTCCAGTACTATCCAGCATATTTCCCAAATACTGAAATGAAGTAACAGTTTCGATCCCGGTAATCGTATCATTATCTGGGCTCCGTTGTCGCGGATTGATGCAGACGGGGCATACGAAATCAGTCACTTTCCTCAGTGAGTCGGTAATTCTCGAGCATCGTCTGTGACACCACTGCTGACATCGTAGGCAATTGCTTCCAATTCCAGCCCCACACACCGAACATTGCCGATGACCAGAGACCAGTCGTACGTCCATTATAATTGATTAAATGAAATTCGACTGGAGCGTAAAAATACAACGTGATGACGCAATTGCTTCCAGGGCAACGTTTATGCTATATGTATCATTTCAATTTCCATGTTTAATTCAATGGAGCGCACTGATAATAGTGTTTATTAATCGTCAATCGCTGTGCGCAGCGAACTGATAAAAGTAATTAATCATCAGTCCATGGTGCGTATCACACTCACGTGAGCACTAACCTTGATTTAACTGCGTGAAGTACTTATGTTTTTTGTGCTTGTTACCTAGGGTACCTACTAGAGACACCATTTTAAGGCCGAATAGGGCAACTTCTGTTAAGCCATCACCTTTTTTGGATTTTAGAACATTAATTGGCAAATATTCTCAGCTGGAAATATATTTTTGGCAATACAGTTGTTAAAACATCTGAATTTGAACAAGAGATTGAATATTACTCAAAAAACAAATTGTTGGATAGATATAAATTGCTTACTTTTTTTCAATAGCTTGTTTTTCTTTCTAAAAAATAAATTTTTTTCCAAATTGTGGGTTTTTTAGTATTAAACCTTCGGCTTCGGCAGAACAGTGGATCAACTATACATTATTTGTGCATCTTTTCTAAGCACATATTTTTTCGGTACTAAATACAGGAGTACATTTTTATACAATATTTCCGTAAACACTGGAAAAATCACTTATTTTAGCGTTTTCGCTACCGCATTGCTATTGAAGCTTAAAACATTTTCATGTGAACTTTTTTTTATCAAATGAAAAAGTTTTAAAATATTTTTCAACAGCTTCATTTCTAAATTTCATTGTTTCAAATGAATTGTTAATGTTAAAATTAACAGCCATTTTTATATTAATTATTGCAAAACTTGAAGTTTGGAGAAAAGATCGAACGCGAGTTAAAGTAATGGCGGAAACAGAAAAATTTAAAAGAAAACTTGATTCGAACATAATACTAAAAAAATTATTTTCCAAAAAACTAATGAATATATTATTTATACAAAATTATAAATTTTTAGATTTTGATAATTTGAAACATTAATAGGTTAAACATTGTCAGTATTTAAAAAAGTAAAGCTTAAACTAATGCATTCTCGTTTAAAATCATTTTCCCGACTTTATTGTGCAATTGACCGTGCAACACGCCAGACTTACAAAACATTATTGTGCAAGTAAACGTGTAAAGACTAGTACACACTAGTAGACATGTTAACGCAATTCTGGTTTCTGAGACATGACTTCGTTTGGTTACGAAGTATGGCTATTGATTACTTCTGGTCTACGAACCTGTTGAGAAAGCGAAAGTTTTCCAATTAAAATGGAACGCTTTATGCATTTTTAACTGTTTTTACTTATAGATTTTTTGGATCAGTTTTATCTACCCTTTTTTGCCTATCGATGACGAAGCTATTTTCCAGAGTTTTTTAGAGTTATCTCAAATCTGTACAGATGATGGACTTCCAACAACTCTGTTTTTTCGTGGATAACATCTTGTGTTTCTCCAATGCCTCCAAAATTTATCAAATCAGATTAGAAAGATTTTTAAGCCTAGTACACACTAGTAGTGGCGGATCTAGGGGTGCCGGGGAAGGCACTGCCCTCCCATTGTGAGCAGTTTGTTAATAAAATAATAAAAAAGACCGTTTCAGGTGTAAAATTGACCACAAATTAAACCTGATAAGCATAAAAAGGTCGTCGGTCACACGACCACAAATTTTGGCTCCCCTTCCGAAAAAATTTAAACATACTCAAAGTTGTCTAGATCCGCCACTGCACCTTAGTAGACATGTTACGCAGTTTCTTCATGAACCGTTTGACGGTGATGATACGTTTCTTCATCGTCCAGTTTTCTGTCTACACTACAATGTGAATTTTTTTGTCGTTTATGTAGTCCAATATTGAAAGTACAATATAATATATAATAAAATTTTGAAACACCGTTTTAAAAATTTTACTACATTTTTTAAATATATGTAAATTTAAAAATTTAGTTACCTTATTTTATTAAATTTTAATTATGAAAAAAATAAAAATAAATTATAATTGAAAAATAAACGTAAAAACTGCGGAATGGTATGAAATTATAATAGACCGGCTTTAAACAAAATTGTTATATTTTAAATGAAATAAATGTAAATAATTTTTGAATAATTAAATAGACTAAAATTTCACATTAAAATATTGAAAAATGTTATAAAATACTAAAGATATTAAATAAAATAATATAAACCAAAAAATTTTAAATTAAAAAAAGGCTTGAAACACGCGTCATTCGCTTTAGCAACCAGAATTGATCTCGTAGCAAGCCAAGTCACATTTCAAAAACCAGAATTGTGTAACATGGTTTTAGTACGATGGCTAACTCCAAACTATGTGCACTGTGTTTTAATTTGTGACATTCTTTGTTGAACCAGTATATTGATCCCAAACGAATCTGTAATTCACGTAGTGGTGCAAACCTGTCAATAAGTTTACGAAATATTTTTTCTTATATATCGAAAAATTCATCAATGTTGCAACCGGTAAATTTTTCTTAGTTGAGAAGATTACTTGTTGACAAAACATCTCTTAATTTTTCAATGTTGATCTTTTTCAAATAAAGAACTTTTTTACTGACTTGGCATGTTCCTTTAGATAGTTCAACCAACGTCTGACGAGCCATAAATTTAACTATGGTCAGATATCAATGGTGGATCGATGATAATATTGTGAACCTAGAAATCAAACCTGGTGATGATGACGTCAAGCAGATCACCCTGTTGTGTGTTGGCGTTTGAAAATATTGAGTGTTTATAACGTTGCTAAGAGATTGGCTAGTTGACCGTACGTATTTGATCTTCTAGATGTATGTTTACATCACCCATTGTGATGATCTGTCCACCATGTCCTGTGAGTTTCTCGAGAAGTTGGCGAAATTTTTTGATGAACGTTGATGTTGTTGACGATCCTGGTCTACATATAGCCATCCAACTAATTCTGGTAGGGCGATGTGGAAGTGAGGTGAAACAGAAGTATTCCAAAAATTTATCGTCCATCATGGTAGAGGAAAAGGAGTTCTTCAAAATGATAACCACACCACCCCTAGAAAAGCTGTTCGTTGTTTGATTAGACCCGTTCTTTTTTTTTCTTTTGGAGCATCAAATGGAAATATCCAGGCTGTTGCAAGAATACATCATCAGAAGGTGCATGTCGGCTTTCAACAATGTGGTTAAAACATCCAACTTTTTTCCAGAATAGGTTCTACCACATGAATATATTTCCGTGAAAGACTATTAACATTTAATTAGTCGATTTATAACTGTAGCATTTTGTCAACAAATTTACGATATTTGAAAAACGTTTTTTTTTATACATCTACGTATCTACGTATCTTTGGAGTTGTATGCTCATAGCATACAACTCCAAAGCAGGTTTGTTCATTATTATAATTTATTATGGTAACAATAACGTTTAGAAAATTTCAAACTATTTTAAAAACAAATTAATATCAATTTAAAAAGCAAAATCTTATTTAAAACTGAATTTTAAAGCAATTTTACAGAATTAAAAACTCATAAATTATTCACAACATGTTTAAAAGCAAGCGCAAACTAGCAATATTTAGTGTTATTCAAGTAAAATTGTGATACACAAGTTGAATACAAAAGTTGAAAATGTTTTTTGGGAATCTAAAACTGAAGTCCGAGTCGTAGACGGACTTTTTTACCGGGGGTCAGATATTTTTCACCCAACTCCGACACCTTGACTAAATGGCATTTTAAATTGAAAAAAAAATTCCTCAAATTATATTACACCATCATTGCATGTATATTATATTATTTTTATATTAGTTAATTAATTTAATTCTGCTAATTTAATCATCGGATGGTGTACCCGAAAATACATTTAAGTATTAAGTAGAAAAATTTCAACTCACAAGGTGGATCAGAAGTTGGTCAAATCGGCAAGATGGCTGAGAAAGCATGTTTGTAAAAAGAATGGAGAAAACAATATTTTTGATGGTTTTAAGTGAGCTTAGCAAATCGAAAATATTACATACAGCTACAATGCAGTGTTATTTTCATAGTACGGGATATTATGATCCAACTTGAAACCGTGCATAATTTTAGTGGTATATACTCCCAAGCTGTCTGTGTTTTATTCAAATTTATTGATATTTTTTCAGTAATTAATATTTTTCGAAATGCTTTTCAATTATAATTTTTTCATTATTTTTAAAGCAATTGTTACTAGAAAGTTCAGATGATGAAGACTTTTTTTTGAAGTAAATTTACTTTTACTTTTTTCTTTTGTTATGATATTTTTTATTTTTATTATTTTATTATTATTTTTTTATTAGGAATCATTTATTGTAAAATTTGATCTCGTTAATGACATCATCTTATGAATTTTTGTTTGTATAAATCACTTTCTGAAGTAAAAAGAAATCAGCACAAATGAATGTTTGGATTGTTGAAAAGGACTTGAAAAAGTAGGGTTTATATCTATCAAAAGAAGTTATATAAAATAGAAGCTTCTGTTTTCTACACTGCTGTCAGCGTGCAAAACTTAAACTATAAAGACAAGGGACAAAAACAAATTTGTAGCGTTCGAAATGAAGTGATGCAGAAAATTGTTGGGAATCAGAAAAGAAGTCATAAGCAATCATCTTAAAAATGTTTTTATAGAATGGTGGTTGATAAATTTATTGAATCCGTACTAATGAAGTAGAAAAACCGGATAAACAAAATTGAAAGACTTATAATGAAAAATTGAATTGGTTAAATTTGGCTAGGATAGAAAAGGATTTTGGAAGTAACAAAAAATGGAGACTCCATCAGCTATAGTGGTTCCTTAAGGATCATTGATTGATGGTCGGCAATTATCATTTCATGAACTGTTCGTATTACATCATTCATGAATTATTATTTGTTTTACAGGGGACCTTTGGTACCTAATGTTGTTGTTTCGAGTCCTGCCTTGAAAAACAACAGATTAAACAAGTTATATACATTTTATTGCTAGTATATAATGCATATTGCTGGTGAAACAAATACATATATTTTTATTTATTAGCAGATTAAACAAACATGTTTACATTAGCATGTATGTTTATTGATTCGTATAATTTGTTACCAGTGTTCAAATAGAAGTTGATGGGGTTGTTGATATAATGCAAGCCAATATTGGACGAGTGATGGAGAGAGGAGAAAGATTGGAAGTTCTTCAGGACAAATCTGGTTATATCAAAATTTGTTGAGTTAATTTTAGTTGCGAGGCTTGAAAACGTTTAAAAAAATATTTAGAAAATCTCTCGAGCAGTTCCGGTGCATTCCGTTCAAAAGCTTCTTCACTTCGTAAAACATTATGGTGGAAAGAGTGCAAGGTGGTTCATTTCAACGTCATTTCAACAAAATTGTTTCGATATTACATTTAGCATCATATTGTATTTAGTCAATTAGTTATTTATTATAAATTGCATGCATTGTTGTTGTAAAATTTGATGATTATGGTGGTGTGTAATGGAAATTGTTCTATTACATGGTTACGTGGGTAAATTACTAGCACAAAGCACGAGTGCTTACCTAGGAGAGAGCGCCGTATGGTCACGTGGGTTAATTACTAGCCCAAAGTACGAGTGCTTACCTAGGAGAGAGCGCCGTGCAAGTCTATAAATAGCCGGCACAAATGAATTAAGCCCTTTTTTTCGTTCTATTATAGTTATAGTATTTCGTTCGTTCTAATATAGTTTATAATAAAGGCTAATCCTTAATATTGTTTCTGTTTTAATAAATAAAATGATAATAATAAAGAAGTGACCCAACGTTTGAGAGAAGACTTGCGAGCGTTCGGAAAGGTTGGCCCGTACGCCCGGCAAGAAGAGCGAAACATCTTTTTCGCCCGGCCCGTATGTTCCGACCCTGATGTTTGTAGAAGATATTGTAGATCGGCGAGTCCCGGCCAGGGAAGCGACCGCCCGCGTGAAGAAGGCGAAGGTGTGCGGTATCGAGCGACCGGTGGCGTGTACGATCGCGACGGCGCTGATGACCGACATTGACCCTACCGTGTCGACGATCGCCGTCGCAGCGAGGACAACGGCGGCGACGAGCGTGTCGACGGAAGAAGCGGTAGAAAGGAACGCCGCGGCAACCTTTACGGCGTCGTCGTATTATTATTATTATTATCATTGTTACTACTCTACTACTAGCTGGCCCGGCGTACTCAGTTACGCCTTAGGAATAATAAATGTTGTTTTAATGAATGGCAAAGTTGCAACACATATATAAAAAAACAAGATGAAATAATTAACATTTTATTTATATGCCAATATTTTAGAAAAAATTTTTTATCATTTATAGTTCAACTCTGTCAAACGCAGAACTGCTTACATCTTATTCTATACTTATAATTAAACTTTCGTGCCAGAAAGACTGTACACTATCCACACCACACGACGCACATACACATTCTGTATGCACTCGTAAGTACCGTATCGTACGGGTATGATGGTCTTTGAGTTTCAGACAGACAGTATTCGAACCATGCCGTCGCGTAATAGCCGCGCGAGACATGGCATTTCTACTGACTGAGCTAACTCAGTGGCCAATGTTTGTTGCAGCTCGATAATTACTATAAACAAAATTTTGAGGATGCAAAATCTAAACACATGTTCAAATTTTGACGTTTGTCTAAAGATACGTGTTCGTGCGTAAGCGTGCGTGTGTGTGTGCGTGCGCGGGTGTATATTTGTATGCTACCTTTGAAAACGCCGCATGTTTCTATAACAAAAACAAAATAATTTTTCAATTTACTGATGAAAAAATATTTGAATATTCATTTTCTGTTTTCATTCATGTTCAAGGGTTAAACGATACCGCCTTATGTCTAAATTAAATAGTATCGAGTAGCTGACTGACACTATTGTAGAAAGAGGAAGATAAATATAGATTTTGGGATGAGTTAAACGAAATGAGGACTGGGATACCTGGAAAAGAAATAGTGGGTTTAGGAGGGACTTAAATGGACACGTTGGAAAAGTGCATGGGGGAAATGGGTATGGTGAAAAAACAAAATGGGTATGGTGAAAAAACAAAGATGGGGAAAGAATTTTAGATTTTTGAATCGCCTGGAACATGAGGATTTACATCATTTGATTTAGGCCATTTAATAACATATGAATCATGGGAGGTCAAGAGAATCGTAGATATTATTTTTGCAAAAAAAAACCACAGGGGCTTTAAAAATGTCAGAACGTTAATGTGTTAAGCAGCATAAGCTCCTAGTATGTGATTTTATGCTAAGGCGTAAGGAAGGACAAAACAGATCACAGAGCCCGGAATTTTTACTTGGAAATTGAGAAAACCGGAAACTAATAAAGCATATCAAAATATGGTTCGAACGGGTGGTAACATTGATAAGGATCTGGGTGTAGAGAAATCATGGGTTGAAAGGAAAAATAGTATGCTGACTGAATACAGCTGAGACAATATGTCAGGAAAGAAAGGGGCCAACACGACATCAAATAACATGGTGGTAGAGCGAAACGGTCAAAAAAGTAATAAGAGATAAAAAAGAAAGATATAGGAAATGGATAATATTAAAAACGAAGAAGAACATGGGGCCTATCGAACTTTAAAACAGAAGGCTAAAGTGGAAGTTGCAATAACAAAACAAAAGTATTGCACGGACTTGTCAGAAAAGCTGGGTATAGAAGACGGTAAGACCGCTATTTAGTCAGGAAACAGGAAAAGACTGGATGTTGTTAGAGTAAACTACATAAAAGATAGCAAAGACTTTATTGTTTTAGATTCAGAGGGAAGAGAAAATTTATAGAGGGAGTATATGGAAAAACGGTTTAATAAAAAAAATGATTGGGATGGAAACATCGCGACAGATATAAATAGAGCAGAGGTTAAGTATATAAAGAAAGAAAACTAAGAAAAAAAGAAGAAGTGGTAACAGAAATACTGAAGGCAACAGGTTGTTGGGGAATTGTTCAATATAGTAATTTAGGAAAAAGAAGTTTCAGTAGATTGTGAGAAAAGTCTAATTCTTCTAATATACAGAGGCCCTTTAAGATGTGGATCTTGTAGAGCAGCCAAGCTATTGGAACGTAATATGATGGTAAGGGAAAGAATTTTGGAGCAAAAAATTAGAAACCAGGTTAGTATTGACGTGTGCCAGGTACTTCAACATCTGCAAGAGAAGTTATGGCACTGTTTCCACTTCGTTTGACATGACCAAACCACCGCAGACGGTGTTGCCGGCATTCGTCCTTTATATCATCTAAACCAGCACGACACAGGATGTGGTCCTTCAGACTAATTCGTTTGCATCCATCGGAGCATTTTCATGGCGGTTCGTTGAAGTTGTTTTTCCAGTTTGGTTGTCATTGGCCATGTTTCTGCACCACATAACAACACCGTACGTATCAGATTTATAAAGTCATGATCGTAGTGGCAGTGGGATGTCACGCCGCATCAATATAGAGGCAAGGAGATGCCATTTATTCCAGGCTGCACGTATGCGTGCTCGAACGGCAGCTTCAGCTGTTCCAGTACAATCCAGAACATCCTCTAGATATTGAAACGATGTGACTTTCTCTATTTTAATGGCTTCAAAAACAGTGCTATTTCGAATTTGTTGTTGTGGATTGATGCAAGCAGGACAAGTCTTAGTATTCGTATACATTTCCATCACAAGTCGAACAAAATTTTCTGGAATGAGTTGTCGACGTAGACTCCACCTGATTGCTTCACGGGGAACTCGATCAAATGTTTTTTCAAGGTCTACAAAAATGTGTGATAGTTGTTGATGCTTTGCAAGGTAATTCTCTTGCAGTTGCTGAAGGATGTGAATTGCATCAATTGTTGATTTCTCCTCTAGGAAACCCAATTGATAATTTCCGATTGTGATGCACGACGTTAATCTTCTCTCAATGATTTTCTCGACAATTTTCAGGAAGTGTTCTAACAGACGTATATCCCGATATGACGAACAGTTCAATGGATCACCTTTGCCTTTGTATAGCGGAATTGTCATGCTATAGTTCCATTTAGTCGGCATTGAGCAATTTCTCCACACTTCACGGAAAAGTTGTAGTAACATTTGGATACCTGCAGTACCAGATGCTTTGATAATGTCATTTGTGAGTCCAGAGGGCCCTGCTGCCTTTCCATCCTTCATAGCTTTCAGAGCTTCTGTAAGCTCCTCTACAGTGATGTCTGGAATCGGACTTTCGATGGGTGGAGCATCAAAGTTGACATTGATGGGATTTGTTTCATTTAACAGACGGTTAAAGTATTCTCTCCACTGTAGCTTGATCTCATCTTGTTTGAGAACCATCTCATTTTTGTCGATTTTGATACATGAGGCACCAACTATGTCTTTTTTCGTACGCTTTGCTTGTTTTGCTATACAATACAGAGATTTCATTTGTTCACCTTTGCTTTTAGTTAACCACTCTCTGCACTGATCTGTCCGAGCCAGTGCGACTTGACGTCTTGCATAGTTGTTCTTCTCACGGAAAATTTTATGGTCATCAACAAACTTTAATTTTTGCCATTGCTTGTATGCAACTTTCTTTTCAGCTATTGCATTTTGTACACTGTCATTCCACCACCAAGTGTCCCGTTCATGCTGACATTTTGTACCAGTTTTCCCACAAACTGTAGTTGCAGCGTTTATCAGAACGGTTTTGTATGTACTCCAATCTGTACTGGCTTGCGATTGGTGGTCTAACTGTGTGAAATTTTTCTCGATGAACATTGCTTTTCAGCTTCCACGTTTTGATTCTCCGAGGCATTTGTTTAGACTTATGTTTTGACAGTTCGATAACCAGGTCTGCCTCAAGGAGTCTATGTTGGGCGACACATGATTCGCCAGGTATAACTTTAACAATTTTTGAATAGCCTTCGGTGTTGTTGCTTAACAACGAAGAAATCAATTTGCGCGGTTGATGGTCCACTTTTGTATGTTATGAGATGTTCCAACCTCTTTCTAAAATATGTATTCAGTAAACAAAACCCGTGACTTTCAGCAAACTCAAGGATGCGGTTGCCATCTTCATTTCGTTTTCCATAGCCAAAACCGCTATGTACGTTGTCAAAACCATCTGTTTTCTCTCCAACGTGGCCATTGAGATCGCCTCCAACCAGGATTGTTTCAGATTTTGGTATTGTTGAGATGGTGTCAGAGAATGCACTCCAGAAGTCATTTTTCATCTCTTCTGATTCGCCTGTCTGTGGTGCGTATGCAGAAAAAATAATCATTGTTTGCTTTTCTATGCGAAGCTTGATCCACATGAGTCGTGAATTAATCCTTTTAATATCCAGTACTTCTTGGGCTAGCGGTTCTCTGACAAAAATTTCAACACCATTTTTGGCCGTCTTTTGACCATTCTAGAATAGTTTATATTTTTCTTTGTCTGAGTTGACATGACAGGTTTTGGGTTTCCTGAAGGCAGCAGATGTCAATCCTTCTACGCACGAGCATTTCCGCGATTTCCATGCTGCGGCCAGTCAGTGATCCAACATTGAGCGTTCCAAGTCTAAGTACCATAGAGGGGCCATTCTAAATTTATCTGCAACATCTCTTCGCTATTGCATACTTCCCAGGGATTCTTTGCACCCCTTGACCACTTAAGGCCTGCTGGGGACTAGGGGCCGTTGTTTTTCTTTGTGATGGCATCGGAATAATATGGGAAAAGTTTTTACATCCGGACACCCATCCTGACGACAACCACCAGTTATAAGCGATGGGCCTAACCTTTCGCTCAAAAGCACGCAGAGCAACGTGGATGCAGTTTTATGTCAACCAGGACTTTGTCATACCCAGGACTTGAAAAAACCCAGTGAAAATGAAAGGGAGGGTATATAAAGCTTGTGTGAGAGCAGCGATGGTATATGGTGGTGAAACTTGGGTGTTGAGGAGAGAGGAGGAAAGTGTACTGCAGAGGGCTGAAAAAGCTATGGTGAGGATGATGTGTGGGGTTAAAGTGAAGGATAAGAGGAGTAGTACAGAGCTGATGTCGAGGATGGGACTGAATGAGGACATTGTGACATTGATAAGGAGATCGAAATTGCGATGGTATGGACATGTGTTGAGAAGGGATGAAAGGGTCGGGATTAGGCGAGCTTTGGAGTTCGAGGTTGAAGGAGTGATAGGAAGAGGTCGTCCGCGACTGGGATGGAGAGAGCAGGTGGAGAAGGACAAAGTGAAAGCGGGGTTGCGTGATACTGAGGCGAGTGACAAATGTGAATAGCGTCGAGGGGTATTTCGGTTTCATCATAGGTAGCCAAACGGCAACCCCCGATCTCTGGGAAAATGTCGTCTAAACGTGTGTTGTTGTTGTTGTTGTATTATATATATATATATATATATTAATATTATTATTATTATTATTATTAATTCTATATTTTTATTGCTCTTCAGATGAGAATACTTCTTGCCACAGTTGTTATTGTTCTACTCGTTATCATCATCAGTAAGAATCATTTAATTTCTTTTTTTTTTTAAATCATATTTTTAATATAATACTGGCAGGGATGTGTGATTAGTAGGAGTAGTTGTTTGAGTGTGCCGTTGGTTGAAATTTTTTTTTGCTAAAAATCATAATCTGACAGACCAGAAATTGTTGAAACATTCACGTTAATAGTATAAAATGAAAACGGAAAATAAATAATGGAGTAAGAAAGTTTACGCATATTAAGCATGGAAAATAAAATATTGATTTTAAACTACGAATGAATAGATTAATTAATTAATTGACTAGTTAATGACTCAGTAAGTATGTTATTTGCTCGTTAAAGAGAAAATTGAACAAATGACAAATATTTATCGAGTGTTTATATATTTAAGGTGTCTTGTGATGATGGTCTTATCCTGATAAGTCGATTGAGTATGTTGAATATTGAGTGACGGTAGCATATGATACAGGTAGATAGTTGAGGCGAATTAGTTTTTTGCTGTAAGATTGTAGTTGCTGAAGTAGTTGTTGTGTAGCAAAACCAGACCAGGATAGAGCTGCGTTTTTGATGCGTGAGATTATGAGTGATTCAGTGATGTCAAATAATTTGATGCCTCTGAGACCATGTGAGCGGTGTGTTTTGAGTGCGTGAAATGTTTGAAAGCCTTTTGTGATGATGTGATTGATATGAGGTGCTATATTAAGCGTGGAAGTGAATGTGATGCCTAATATTTTTAATTGATTTGTGCGTGTGATTGATGGGTGTTCTGGGGGTAATGTTATTTTCTTACAACTGTTGTGTATGATGAGTTCGAATGATTTATTGAGGTTAAGTCACAGATTGCATGGTTTTGTTAATAAATAGAGTTCGTATTGGATGGTGTTTTTGTTCGAATTAGATGATGGGATGATAAGGTAGGTGTCGACAGCGTATTTGATGATTTTATTAGCTTTGAGTAGCAGCATTGATGATGAAGGTTGATGGTCTAGGGACTGATCCTTGAACTACACTAGAGTTAATAGGTAGGATGGATAAAAATCGTGTGTTAGGCAAAAAATGTCATTTGTCTTTTTTTGGAAAATTTAAGCTCACCTACTACAAATTTCTGGCTTCGTCACTATACATACGTTATATTTATGTGTGCGTGTGTGTGTGTGAAGTGAAGCGTTCCTAAAAGCAATTTCGTCATTACATCGTATTTTTATGCTGTAAACGATCTCCGCAGGAGTCAATCTGTTTTTTCTTTTGTTTCAGTAGTGCGTTCGATAGGGTAATTCCAGCTTATAACTTCGACGCTAAAAAGTTATCATAAACGTGTATGTTCAGGAACCCTTGGCATTCATCAGCGTTGCAGCACCATATATTAATTGTATAATTGATGCATTGCGAAAAAATATGCTTGCCATGGTGTTGCAATGTAAAAGACTAGTGAATTAAACTAAATTATGCTACGTGTGTGTGTTGTATTTGTGTGCGTGAAGTGAAGTGAAGCGTTCCTAGAAGCAATTACGGCATTACATTGTATTTTTATGCTGTAAACGATCTCGACAGGAGTCTCCCTGTGTAACTGCTTCTTTTGATTCCAGTGGTACGTTCTATGAGGGAAGTACGATAGGGCAATTCCAGCTTAAAACTCCAACGCTAAAACCTTTAAAAAGTTATAAGCGTGCATGTTTAGGAACCCTTGGCATTCATCAGCGTTGCAGCACCATATATTAATTGTATAATTGATACGTTGCGAAAAAATATGCTTGCCTTGGTGTTGCAGTGAAAAATACTAGTGAATTAAACTAAATTATGCTAGTTCCGGACATGTCCTTTTGGTATATGTTTTTTTTTCATTATTTTATCGATAATTTTTTGTGTTTACCATATCTAGTTTAGTGATAATTTTCAGCTGCAATTATTATTCAATCGAAGAAGAAAGAATGAATGAAATCCAACAACGTTCCGATGTGTACATTTGGATATTAGCTATGAATATTCTTTTTTTTTTAATTTTCAATCTCGGGTTTTGGTTTTTATTTTTGGCATTAATTCGACTTACGATTTCGTTTCTGTTTATTCGTGCGTTAAACTATTCATGCTTAATCGTGTTTATATTCAAAATGCATACATATTGTTTATGCATGGATAGAATAAAATTCCGAAACGAGAATAAATGTATTAGTTTTCTTTGTCGTTCACTTTTTGTTTGTACAACGAACTTCCGTTTCATGTTCTCGTTAGCTTGTGACGTGTAATCAGTCTTCGGATATTTTGCGAGGAAGCAAAGTGAGTAGCTGTGTGATTTAGTTCTTCAGCCAGTGTTTTCGAATTACTATTTGGTGGTAGAAAGTAGAGTAAAAGGATGGACCAAGTAATGCAGTATATTGAACCCGCAAAAACTTTCGCGAAAGACTCAATAAGGCTCGTTAAGAGATGTACTAAACCGGATCGAAAAGGTTAAATTGAAGTTTTATCAAAATTGATTTTTTTTTGTCTAAAAATATAAAATAAATGAATGTCTGGTAAAACGTGAGATCGAGATCGGTACTCCTATCCTATGTTATCGCAATGTACTTTTAATAAATTGACTCTGCCTGTGTTGAATTGAAAATAATTTAATTAGGTAAGTTTTTTAAATCATTACTTATCAAGTAGTTGAAATAGTAAACATTAAATAAAAAAAAGTTAAAATATGAGTAAATTTCTGTTTTGATAACAATCAATGGCTTATGAAGTGGTTAACAGGGTTAGGGCCTCCCTTTTTAACAAAATTTTCAATCATTTCACAAATATGGAGTGGTTTAAATTTTCAATCATTTGTGAAATGATTGAAAATTTTGATAAAAATTGAGACCCTAACCCTGTTAACCACTCCATAAGCCATTGATATTTGACAAGTAATTATCTAAATTATTATTATAGTAATGATTTAAATTATTTTCAATTTGATATAAAAATAAATAATCAAGCGCTAGACAGGGGCGGATCCAGGTCATCTAGTAAGGGGGGGGGGTGATTTTTATCCATTGTGGCAACACTTGTCAATCACAATACAGAACTTTTGGTGGATCAGTATGCATGAATATATATAAACACATAAGATATATAAATGATTCGTTTCCATACATATAAAAACCCATAGTCATATTGACATTAATATGAACAATGAACATACATACACTGATGCAATAAAAATAATAGATATATAGATGTTTATTCTTTTACATTTAATACATATTTTGTTAAATTTATTTGCCAATTTTGCATTTATCAACTTTTTTATTATGGACTCAACACAGCGTAGTTTTTGACATTCATATTTATTGTGAAATTGTGACATATTAGAAGCTGACAACGTTGTTTCGGCTAGGTAGCCATCATCAGAGCCTAAAACCAATGAAATATAAGAAATTTAATTAAAATAAATGAGAATTAAACGAACTATGTAAATTATTTGGCGGACATGATAGATAAGATATTAAAAATAAAATTGGAATTGAAAGTGAAGTTAAAATGGTACCTTGCGAAGGATGTAACCTAAAAGATAAATTTAATACTAAAACATGAAATTAAATAAAAGTTACTAATTAATAAAAGGTAAAATAAATGAAAATAAACTGGAAAGTTGGAAGAATAGGAAATAAACAATACGTGTGTGATGAATGTGTTGTAATCACTAGTATAAAATATTATGGAACGCTAAGTATATTCTACACAAATTAAATGCATAACTAAGATTATGTGGTTATAAAATGTATGTGGGATTAAAATAAACTAAAATAAATAAGTTAGTAAATAAAATGAAATACGATAAATGTACTATGAATTATGTAATGGGAATTGAATTTAATTAAGACTGTTATAGAGTAGTTAAAGATGTAAGTGTAGTAGATTTCCGACGTACACTTATAAATTGTGTATTGACCGGTAGAAAGCTGTCTGCCTGCGAACGTATCGTGGTGATACAGTCAAGTACGGTTGCTCACGTACAACGTTACACAGTAGAGCCTGATCCCGGTATTGAGAAAATAGTTGTCAGCTTCTAATATGTCACAATTTCACAATAAATATGAATGTCAAAAACTACGCTGTGTTGAGTCCATAATAAAAAAGTTGATAAATGCAAAATGGGCAAATAAATTTAACAAAATATGTATTAATGAAAACCTCGTTCCTAAATATCTTTTACATTTATAAACACATACTCACGTATGAATACATACACTGATGTAATAAAAGTAATAGATATATGGATCATCGTTTTTCCAATCAATCAATCCACATCAAGTTTTTCCACATGAATAAACATATAAGTATGCATGAAAATATATACTGATGCAATAAGAGTAACAGATATATAAATGTACATACCTGTACATACATAAACACATAAGCACATATGAATACATTCACTGAAGCAATCAAAATAATAAATATATAAGTGTTCAGCACTGAGTATATATGTAAAACACACAAGCATATATGAATGAGTACATACACCGACGTCATAAAATTAATAGATATATAAATGTTCGTTTTTCCACATATATAAACACATAAGTATGCATGAATATATATATATATATATATTTATATATATATATATATATATATATATATATACTGATGCAATAAAAGTAACAGATATATAAATGTTCATTCCTGTACATACATAACACATAAGCACATATGAATACATTCACTGAAGCAATCAAAATAATAAATATATAAGTGTTCAGCATATATATATATAAACACATAAGTATGCATGAATATATATACTGATGCAATCAAAATTATAGATATATAAATGATTTTCCTTGTACACATATAAACACACAAGCATGTGCGAATACATATACTGAAACAATAAAAATAATAGAAACATAAATATTCGACTTTGTACATATATAAACACATGTATGTACATTAACTAAGATACCAACGTACAATCATCATCATCCTATATGTTCATCAACCGTTAACACCAAGAACAGAATCATCAGCAACAGCAACAATATCGACAGTACATTCAAAACCAAAACACAATTTATTAAAATTTTTCCCTTTTCTAAATTATTTATACTTGAACTAAATTTAAGTATATTCGAGCCTCAAGGTGGCTCATACAGCTAAATAAAAGATTTAACAGCATTTTTAAACAAGGCAAAGCTAGAAATATCTTTTACAGAAGGATAACACCAAGAACAGAATCATCAGCAACAGCAACAATATCAACAGAACATTCAAAACCAAAACACAATTTATTAAAATTTTTCCCTCACCTAAATTATTTATACTTGAACTAAAATTTAAGTATATTCGAGCCTCAAGGTGGCTCATACAGCTTAATAAAAGATTTAACAGCATTTTTAAACAAGGCAAAGCTAGAAATATCCTTTACAGAAGCAGGTAAAATATCATTCCAGATTCTTGGACCATTAAAAAAAATACTTTGATGAATCAATTTCAATCAGACAGGGTATAAATAAAAAGTGTTATGTTGTCTAGTAACGTTGATGTTTGCAAACATTTATTAACCTGGTTAGATAAAAATGGCAGAAGCGTATCAACAAATTCCACCAGGAGAAATGTTGGAATAGGGTCGAGGCAGTTTACTTGTTTTACTTGAACAAGACAAAATAATTGTCTTTAAATCTGCCTCGGAAATGCTCTCAAACAGGTGGAAACAGCTATCGGTCGACCTGAATTCTGGCGGATCAACCATCTCATCAGCTGACTGTTCGGACTTTGATTCTAGATGAGTTAAAAACTCTTGAGCTGTGGATTGGTGAAGCAGTCGTGTATACATTATTCTTCCTGGCAAGTAATGACGTAAAAATCTTCCATAATTGTTTTTATTTATCAGACCTTAAAATTATCAGCGATTGGTAATATATTGATTGTTTGGCTGTTTTCTAACGAAGAAGGTCTGATGTTTTCTAACGAAAAAGGTCTGATTTGTTTTTTGTACGTCGATAAACCCTTTCTAACTTCCGAGTTGATCGTTTTATTTCATAGCAATCAATGTCAAACCAACTGCATGATTTTGAACTAACTTGTTTTGTTGACTAACGGGGCATGATTATCAACAATACGTCTGAGCGTTTCCTCATATACATAAAACAGCTTGTTCACATCGAAAGCCGAGTATGCTCCATTGTCACTGAGAACACTATCGATAAGTGAATTTCTGAATTTTTTACTTCTTCAGTTAAGTCGCTGTTTACATACATCCTTGTCATATTCTTTGCAGAAATAAGAACATCTCTTTTCCAGAACATAAAATAGAAAAAATTATTAAAAATTTTTGCAATTTGAAAACACTCTTTAGCCAGAGTTTAACACTCAATAAGTTTATACAGAAGGTTTGATTCAGTAGTGGTATTGTTCTAGGAATGACTGTCAATTAAATATTTATTATTAATAATTTATCGATTTATTATGAAGTTATAAATTTAGTTTTTTATTCATTGTGTGATAATTTTGAATATTTAAAAAACTAAATTAAATTTTCTTTACAGAATTTCAAAAGATTGCAATGGCAACAGCAATAGGATTTGCTATTATGGGATTTATTGGATTTTTTGTGAAGTTGATCCATATACCAATAAATAACATTATAGTGTAAGCATAATTTTGTGTTATGTAGAGGTATTTGCTGTCATATTTACTCTTTAGCCAAGACTGACAAACTTTATTTGTTTTTATTTGTATATATCCATACCTTTTTAAAAAAAACTATGTAGCTCCTGCTAAAGCTCTTCCTATCATGTATCCCTTTTAATCAAAATTTTTTGTGATATGTTTTTTATTTCTCAATATATGCTTTGTTCTAGATATCTTTAAACAACATCTGCCAATGTTCATTTTCATCTACTCCAGTTTCTTCATTTACTTAAATTCTTTTAATCAATCAATCATCGTTTATAGTCTCCATGCGTTAAGGATCGGAATTTTTATTCCATTCATCACTTGACGGCACTTGGTCTCGTTGAGACCGGCTTTTGGTCTCCTTGAGACCAAAGCTCCTTCAATCCTCCTGTATGGTCTGTGTTCATGACACCTTGCTTCCTGGTTTCATTATCAGTCACCACTTTAGGAAAAAAATCCCACAATGAGGCATTTGTTTGGCTTTCTTTCTACAACTGTGCAAAATATAAATTAACAAAGTACTTATGTAATGAATAGCAAATATAGTAACTGTAATCTAATAAATTATAAACCAATAATTGGAAAGTTATAGCACATGTGTTCGCCGATCCTCACAAACTTGTGCCTTTTTGTGGCCAGTCCAAAGTAACTTGTCTTTTCCTGCTTCAGAGTTGTCGAACACCGTTTGACTTCCATCTTGTTTCTTAAAAACAACATATTTTCGTCTTTCAAATGTCTCAGCAGCTTCCATACTCCGGCCATGGATCCAGCGTTTAGCATTCCAAGTCGTTTAACCGTGGAAAGCCCAGTTCTTAGCCATTTGCAACAGCCCTTCATTGCTGCATTCGACATGAACCCAGAGATTCTTAGCATCCCTTGACCATTTAAGGTCTGCTGGGGACTAGGGGTCTTATTATCATCAGCAGACAACATAATCGTTGGTTGGAGCAAGTTTTTTCTATCCGGATGCTTTCCTTATGAAATCCACCCATTGTAAGCGGTGGACCTAGCCTTTGGCTAAATAGCCTAGACCGCAATGCAGAGGATTAACTTCTACTCCGGTTGGTATCCTTTTTCACAGAGGCTTTCCTTTGAACATTCTAACTTTGGCCCACGCAAGAGGCAGATTCGGCGTGTCCGGCATACCAGGTTTATCATACTTTGCTTTGGCGTACAAGTAATCTGGACTTATGATTAAACACAGCCTTGGCTTTTCCTTTGGTCTTGGCTTTTCCTTTTGAACACTCTAACTTTGGCCCACACAGGAGAAGAGGCAGATTCTGCGTACCTGGAGCTATCAGTTTTATCATATTTAGCTTTGACGTACTAAGTAATCTGGACTTGTGATTAAACACAGCCTTGGCTTTTCCTTTGGCCCGCCGGCTCACCCGTCGTCTACCCCTACCACTATGCTGTTGCCCATCTCCACGACGTGGACACATTGGCTATTATCTAATCTATAGTTTAATCTATGCCAGGTTAACGCACTGGCTGATATCTAATCTAAAGTTTAATCAATGAACCTTATATACACAAGGTTTAATAATTTTTAGCAAAACAAAAAGTTGTAAAGCATCGATAACGTTGAAATAATAAAACAAACTTACCTTGAGTCAGAAAAATTTTCAACAAGTTAGCTCTGGTAGTTTTTTTTATTAAAAAATTTAGTTTTTGGACAACAATGTACCCAAAAAATTTAAATTTTATTTGTTAACTCTGAGTATCCTGGCTAGTGCAGTAAAGTTCACATTTGTGTGTGCGTGCGCGTGTGTGTTTGCGTTTTCTACCAGTGTATTTAGTTAAATTTACAAAAACAAAATTTCCTATTTTCTAATAGCTCAATAACAGTGAAAATTTGTTTGAATATGATACTTAGAAATTTGTCAATGTGTCAATATTTATTCACCGGTAATAAACCATCGGTATTTATATTTCTAAAGTATTTACTGATACCGACGCATCGGTATCTATACATCGGTAAATACTACTGATACATCAATAAATGCCGATTGGTAAATGCCGATACATCGGTAATATACCGATATCTATGTTGAGTTTATTTGTTTCATTACCATGTCGGCGAGTTGCTCAGTCGTCAGAACTGCCATGTCTCGTGCAGTTACGCGATGGACTGGTTTGAATACTTTCTGTCCAAAACTCAAAGGCTATCGTACGCCTTGCGCGTTCATACATAACGTGTATTTACGTCGTGTGGTGTGAAGAGTTCCGTCTTTGTGGCCCGAACACGAACAACTTAAAGCGTTCATGAAGACTTGAATGGACGCTATATAAAGCCTACATGTTAATTTTTTTACCAATGTCGATGCATCGATACTGAATTTTCAGTTAACCGGTACCGATCCATATCGGTAACGCTCATATGTTCAGTCTTCTCATCTTCAAGTAGCTCCGAAAACATGGCAACCTCCATACTAAACATCTAAACCAAATCTACCAAAATCCAGCGTCGTGCTGGTTTAGATGATATAAAGGACGAATGTCGGCAAAATCGTCTGCGATGGTTTGGTCATGTCAAACTAAGTGGTAACAGTGCCATAACTTCTCTTGCAGATGTTGAAGTACCTGACACACTTCCCAATGGCCGTCTAAAGAAGTCCTGGTCTCAAACAATCGAGCAAGACATGAAAGCTCTAAATGTAAATGAAATGGATGCAGTGGCAAAGAAAACAACGTCCTACCTCGGGGAACTGGGTCTTTAGACGCTAAACAAAGATTGATACAATTCCTTCTAACGTACATCTCCAACTCACATCAGCCAGGGATCAATCACCTTACATTTAACACCAGAAATAACTTGAATGTTTTTAATTGCAAACACTTCATTCCTGGTTCTAAAGAAAAATTTCCTAGCTATGACACATTTTTTGTTTGATACGATATTTGAATTTCAACCACTTCCAACTATTCCTTTAGACTGTCATTAATATGAACTTCATTAAGGCACGTCATCTTTAACAGTTTAACAACTTCTGCGGCCTCTTTCCACATTCATTCCTCATATGTGCATGCGTGTGAGTTGTTTAATTAGATGTTAAATTAGTATAACGAGTTTATATATCATGTATAATTATATATGTATATTTGTTTATTTAATTATTCAAATTCACTCCTAAATATTTCTTAGGGAATATTCTTTTTAACATTTTCCAATGGTGTTGGCGACAAACACAAAATGTATAAGAATACATAAGATTCGATGCACCACATACCATGCTTGTGACAGGTGGGGATCTCTATCCATTCGAACCCGGTCCCAGGCGCCTTAACCACTACATCCTCGTGCCGCCACCCTATATATTATATACAATTATATACCTGCTTTTGAATATTCGTGTATGCATGCGTGTGGATTTGCACGCACGCAAAGGAATGTGTGTGTTTGTGTGTGTGTGTATGCATGCATATGTGTATATTTATTTATTAATTTTTTAATAAAATTTTAAAAATTAATTCTCTTTTTTAGGGGTTCATGAAAGAAAATGCAGTGATTCATATTACTATTCTGACATATTTTCGTTATCTGTCAAAACTCATAACATTGTAAATTAAGAAAGACTGCCAAAAAAACTTGTTTATTTTCTTTTTAGTTTAGATTACATGCGCTAAATTATTTATAGTAATATGCTCCGAGAGATGTACAAATGTAGAAATTTGCAAATGATGTGGCACATGTGCCGTCTTCATTAAGAGCGAGTTCAATTTAATTTAAGAAACTGTTTTTAAAGTTTTTGCTGTGAGGCGAACAACGTTCTTGTACGTGTCGCGTTGTTTGCACTAATGTTTGGAATATCTAATTTTTCATTCCAGACAAATGGCGCTCAGATGCGAGCGTGGATCCTAACGTGTGTTCGCTACTTTGCAAATGAGCGTAACATTAGCGATTTATGTATGTTGTGTGAACGTGAATGATATTCGAACTGATTTACAGGCGTTTGCGTTGTAAAAAGCATCTTAGAATTGTAAGGTGTATGTAAGATATTGCGGTTTAAGAGCAATTAGCTTGTTTAGTATAGTTTACACAGCTATCGGAATCCATCACCGATACACAGCTTCCTAGTAGCAGCTAACTAGTGGATGAGAGTAAAAAATGTAACCCGGTTGTCTTATTTCCAAAATTTGTACGGACAAGAGATTGTGCAAGAATAGAGTAATTGAAAGATCAGGTGTGGGTATACTTTGCTGTGAGGGCCGTGTTGAGGGTTATCTTACCTTTGGAGGCCCGCATATGTATTTAAATAGCAATTTTTCGACCTGGGGGGATAATTTTTTATGATTTATGGCTCCTTTTTTGGTTATAATGTTTGGCTGATGACCTTTTATTGACGAACAAGGCCTCGCGGGCCGTAGTTTGCCCACCCCTGATCTAGTTAATATGCATTGGAAAGCATATGCATTGGATTAATTCAATCAATATTATTATCATTCGTTTTCCTGATTTCGATGTAGGATGTTGCTTTTTTGTCGTTGACTTTTGGCACCAGATCAGGCGATCAGCTGCATCCAGTTCGTTAAGGGTACATGCTTTCAGATCTTGATGGAACGATGGTGTACCGGTCCTTTTCAGAGGGCCTCTAAAGCAGTTGCCGGGTACTTTGAAATCTGCAAAAGAAAGCATTGCACTGTTTTTCCTTCGTCTGTTTGTGCCTTTGACCAAAGTTTTGCTTGTATTTCGAAGTTGAATTTTTTAATTTGTCGTCATGCAGTTTGTGATGTTTTCAACAACACATACGTGTTGCATACTGATTGTTGGTTTAAAAGGTTTGCCACTCTTCATCGCTTTTGTTTTGTGGACGTTGAATCCATGATGGGCAAGTATCAAGCCTTGGCGAACGCCAATGTACAAAGCATCCGTATTCCAAACCGTTGGCTGATGAGGGTTTTTGTATTTTTATACGTTACCATGACCAAACGAATTCAATATTATTGAACGTGTTGTATTTTTATATTTATATGTGTGGGTCTAATGTGCGTGTATGTCTAGTGTGTATAATGATTTGATGCGATAAGAAGTGTTTATCTCCTATGTGGTCGACCGATTTTAGTTTTTTGTGACTTCCTCAATGTTGGCCCGAGACGTGCGTCATTTAGTGCATGTAAATCATCTCGAAGTAAAATTTCAAATGATTTATTTTGATCTTATAAGCCAATGCACTACATCCAACGGAGCATTTCTATGTCGGCACGGTGAATTTGTTCAAGTTTTGCTGCCATAGGTCATGTTTGACGCTGAATCATTCAGTCTTGAACGTTTTAGTGGGTTGATGCAAACAGGAAAAATGTAATTGAATGCTTTCGATAGTAGAATTTTTTCTTTTGAGTAACGTTTGGGACACAACTGTTGGCATTGTTGACATGATAAATTAATTTGCATACCGATTGTTGTGGGTTTAAAGGCTTTGCCACTCTTCATCGCTTTTGTTTTGTGGACGCTGAATCCATGATGGGCAAGTATCAAGCCTTGGCACGCCAATGCACAAAGCATCCGTATTCCAAACCATTGTGCTGATGAGTGTTTTTTTATTTTTATACGTTACCATGACCAAACAAATTCAATATTAATGAACGTATTGTATTTTTATATTTATATGTGTGTGGGTCTAGTGTGGGTGTGTGTCTAATGTACATAATGATTTGATGCTATAAGAATTGTTTATATAACTTGGATTGATTGATGTGACTATCTTAATTTTATCGTAATTACTTTTAAATTACCAGATATTAACGTCCAGTTAAGCACTTTGTTTTTAAAAATTTGCTAACATATGCGATGCTTTTCTAGCGGATATTTTGGCCTCAAACATTTGAAGACGATAATGAACCACGCTTGATATGCCTTCTATTTCTAACTTGAATGAAGTTTTCATTGTTTTTACATTTCTAGCAGTTTTGTCATACATTTTAAAAATTATCTATAATGGCGTTTTTGTAATTCAACTTTATTACGGTTAGCACTATCATTAAAAGGTTCATTATTACATGCGGCATCAAACCTGTTTGATGTTTGTGTGCATTTTTTTAATACAAATCAACAGACTGCTTTCAGTTGGCCCGTTAACCAGTTGTTGATTATCAAATACATTTTTTTAAGATGTCGCCCTTTTTATTTATAAATTTGAAAATTCTCACACTTTACTGACCTGTCAAATTTATCGTGGAACCGGGAACTTTCGGCATAGCCATTGTCAAAAACAAATTTTACGTTTTAAAAAATTCCATGAGTCTCCATTTCTTTTTCACATTTTGTACGAACTTTGGCAATTCAATTAAAGGCTCTTTAGCGTTTTACACCAGAATGTTTCTACTTGCAATTAAATTTTGGACACAAAAGCATTTTAGTTACAGCCTCCTGGAGTGAAGTATCATCAAAACCGGTCGAAACATTCTACAAATTAAACAATTCGTCAAAAATAATTTCATCAGGCATTCTGCAAAACAGCATATTTAACTAAATTTAAATTCTAAATTAGAATTAATTTGTGTTAATAAATCTAAACACTCTATAACTATTCCTCCCATTGTCTTACCTGATTCTAAAACTCTTGACGTTTCTCACAAGTTTCGTAGTCTAAGCTTTATCTTTGATTCTAGTATGTCTCTTTCTATAGTGTTGCTAGAAGTCCTTACTTCCATCTACGTAAAATAAAAAATTTTTGCCTTTTTTTTGATGATCCTACCCTTCTCCTTGTTATTTCGTTAGTCTTCTCTAGGATTGATTATTGTAACTCTCATGCTACTACAATCTCTCATCAAAAACTAATCCGCTTCAACTATCTACCTGCATCATATCCTACCGTCATTCAGATATTCAACACACCCGATTCAAGACTGTTCAAGAAAGTAGAAAATAACAACAACCACGTCATCCATCCTCTACTACCACCAATTAAAACCACAACATACAACCTTCGTCAGCGCAAACATAACTTTCAAGTCACCACCAAATCTACATAACAGGAAAACACAAGATACCTAAAATATATTAACACTCAATAAAACTTTATCATTCACACAACTAGTTTTTATTTAATAAAACTTTGTCATTCACACAACTAGTTTTTATTTATCGATCAGTCATCATCTAGTCTATATTAATTTGCGTTTTTATGTCACTACTTCATTTTATTGTAAATTTATTTTTTTTTAATATTATTATTTATTATTTATTTTATTCTATTTTAATACATTTTTCATGTTTAAACATTTTTATTTCTCGTTTTTTTATTTTTGTATTTATTTACTTATTTGTTTAATTTTGTACTACTGTCTTGCATGTTGTAACAGTTTCTGTGTCTGTCAGTTCCTGATTTTTAAAGAATAATAAAAAAAAACTCGCTCTACTATGCTCCTCCCGACTCTATACTCTATCCTTTAGGTAAAGCTTTTAACTCTGCTGCTCGTCTAGTTGCTCGTGCCCCCTTCTTTTCTCATATATCTCAATATCTTGTTCTCTAGCACTGGCTATCTATAAATATAGAATAATTTTTAAAATTTGCACATTTGAGTTGAAGAGGATAATGGTGGACGTGGCTGCACTACAGGAGATCAGATGGAAGGGAGAGGGTACAAGGTTTAAGGGAGCTAAAGGTGAAAGGTATAAGTTGTGGTGGAAGAGGGATGATGGTACGGGAGGAGTTGGTGTGATGGTAAGAGAAGAGTTGGTGGAGGAAATGTTGGAAGTGAGGCGGAAAAGCAATGGTGAAATTGTGGTGGTGATGGTGTTTGGAAAGGTAATAGTGAGGGTAATATCAGGATATGCTCCGCAACAAGAAGGAAGGAATAGAGAAGGATAGGTTTTATGATGATGTTTCTGACGAGATTGGGCAAGCGGGGTTGGATGAGTTTGTGGTGTTGTTGGGTGATTTGAATGGTCATGTGGGGGCGGATGTAGACGGATTTGAAAGTGTACATGGGGGATGGGGATATGGTATACGAAATGAGGAAGGGCGTAGAGTGTTGGAGTTGGCGGATGCACATAGCATCCGCCAACATACCTGGTTTACAAGGGAATCAGCACGATTAATTACATATAGGTCAGGGGAGCATAGATCAATGATAGATTATATATTGGTAAGGGCGAAGCATAGAAAGTATGTAAGGAATATGAAGGCGATACCTGGTATGTTGCAGCATAGTATGGTTGTGATGGATGTGGCATCAAATGAAATGGGGAGGAGGAAGAAGGATAAGTTTGTGGCAAAGAGAAAAACATGGAAGTTACAGAAGGCAGAGGTGAAGAAGGCATTTGAAGTGAAGGTGGCTGAAAGTTGGGAGAGTGGTAAGGATGGAGATGTTTGGGAGAGATATAGGGACTGGGTGTTGACTACGGCAAATAAAGTATGTAGATGAACGAAAGGAAAGTGTAGGCATGGTGAAAAGTGGTGGTGGGATGAAGATATAAAAAAATTTTGGAGGTCAATAAGGAGAGGTTTAGGGTGTGGAAAAGGGACATGACGGGGGAAGCGGAGTTTGAGTATAGGAAGGCTAAGAAGGTTGTAAAACGGGCAGTGGCAACTGCAATGACAAAAGCATCAGATAGGTTAATGAGAGAAATGGAATTTGATGTTAGTTTGAAGAAAATGTTCAAAGTAGCAAAGCAGTCAATGAGGGATAGGAAAGAGGTTGATGAATGAAGAGAATGAGTGGGATGGAGATGTGGGAATCCGCAGTCACATACGGACCCATAGAGAAGGTGACAATAAAGGAAGTAGAAAAAGCAGTTAGAGAAATGAAACTAGGTAAGGCGACAGGGGTTTCGAATGTGGCGGCGGAGCATATAAAGGCGAGTGGGGTGATAGAAATTGAAGTTATGATGAGAATTGCTAACAGTATGTTTGATGATGAAGGTATACCTGAGGATTGGCGGCACAGTGTGTTGGTGCCGTTGTATAAGGGCAAAGGAGATGTGAGAGATTGTGGGTCATATAGGGGTGTGAAATTGCTAGAGCATGGAATGAAGGTAGTGGTGCTTGAGAGGAGGTTGAGAAATATGGTGACAGTTAATGAAATGCAATGTGGGTTTATGCCTAGTAGGGGAACGGTGGATGCGTTGTTCATAGTGAGAATGTTGCAGGAGAAGTATAGAAAAAAGAAACGAAGATTGTACATGTGTTTTGTGTATCTAGAAAAGACTTTTGATCAAGTACCGAGGAAGGTCATTGAATGGGCGTTGAAAAAAAAAGGAGTGAATGAGTGAATGAGAGACTTGTTAAAGCTGTGATGCAGCTGTATGAAGGGGCGAAAACAAAGGTGAGGGTTTTAGTGTTAAAATAGGAGTGCATTAAGGATCAGTGTTATCACCGTTTTTGTTTGCAATTGTGATAGATGTTGTGTGTGGAAACATAATGGAGGGGTTGTTATTTGAGATTTTGTATGCAGATGATTTAGTCTTGATGACTGATAGCATGGAAGAATTGCAATTAAAATTTGACAGATTGAAAAGTGTTATTGAAAAGAAAGGGTTAAAAGTTAATAATGGTAAGACGAAGGTAATGGTGAGTGGGGAAGATGGGGAGCGAGTGATAAGTAAAGTAAACCCCCGTGGAGTATGTGACAGGAGAGTGAAGGCTAACTCGGTATTGTGTATAGGATGTCAGAAGTGAATGCATAAAAGATGTAGTGGTGTGAGGAGGCACTGAAAAAGGTGGAAGGTACGTTCAAATGAAAGAAATGTGTTCACGGTGAGATTAATAGGACGCAAGGACGGGGTTGAGTGGTGGTATTGAAAGAATGGAAAACTTTGTTTATTTAGGGGTTAAGCTGAACGCGGATGGAGGATGTTTGAGCGCTGTTACGGCAAGAGTTCGTGTGGGATGGATGAAATTTAAAGAACTGGGTGGAGTATTGTCTGGAAAGAAATGGTCAGTGAAGATGAAAGGGAGGGTATATAAAGCATGTGTGAGAGCAGCGATAGTATATGGTGGTGAAACTTGGGTGTTGAGGAGAGAAGAGAAAAGTGTACTGCAGAGGGCTGAAAGAGCTATGGTTAGGATGATGTGTGAGGTTAAAGTGAAGGATAGAAGTAGTACAGAGATGATGTCGATGATGGGACTGAATGAGGACATTGTGACATTGATAAGGAGATCGAGATTGCGGTGGTATGGACATGTGTTAAGAAGGGATGAAAGGGTCGGGATTTGGCAAGCGTTGGAGTTTGAGGTTGAAGGAGTGATAGGAAGAGGTCGTCCGCGATTGGGATGGAGAGAGCAGGTGGAGAAGGACAGAGTGAAAGCGGGGTTGCGTGATACTGAGGCGAGTGACAGATGTGAATGGCGTCGAGGGGTATTTCGGTTTTATCATAGGTTGCCAAACGGCAATCCTCGATCTCTGGGAAAATGTCGTCTAAACGTGTGTTTTAAAGTTCCGTCGATTTGTGATGAATTTTTTCAAAACTGTGTGACTAAAGTAGGAAATTATCTCCCAAAGTGATTTACTAGTTGAAAATATTAAGTTTCAAAACTTTTTAGATAAATGGAGCATTTCCTTCCAGTCAAACAACCAGGTTTTAAGCAGATTTTGTTTGTAAATTGTTCTTTCTCGCATACAGTGCCAGTGCAAGAAAATAAATTTTAAGACGTCAGCGACAAATCTGGCAACATCATTCAACTCAACATTGAACAACATATCGTTGCGTCAAATTTCACCTAGTGTTTAAGATCACCCGTTCGAGTTTATCAAAATTTTTCAAACTTATGCCTTTTATGTTTCAGCATTATATTTGCTATTGTCACCCAATGGCGCAGAGCATTTACGGAAAGCGATTTGTCATTTGACGGCTTTTCATTAACTAAATTTTTAACATAATTAAGATAAAAGTGTGACAAAGGGACATTTTCTACTGCATTGTTATCATTTTTGTTCATCTCCTCATTCAAGTTTCTATTTAATCATTATTTTTAAGTTAATGATCTGAGCTTTTTGTCTTAAAAATAATAAGTTGATAATAATGATGAAAGTAATAATAATAATAATGATAGTAATAATGAGAAAAACCTCTTATTTTCATTTTAAAACATACATTGTAATTATAAAGTTAAAGTAATAAAACTTATAATGTTAATTATATAGATAATCTACAATGCTCGCCATACATTTTAAATGGGCATAAAGAGAAATAGAATCAGCATTAAATTATGTTCAAATCATGTTCCTATCACAGTAGATTGCGAAAGACGACGATACTACGGAATTAAACTTCTATGAAAAGGGTCAGACCAAATAAAATTAATTAATGATAGTTTAAAATATTTAAAAAACCTAGCGGGGAAATTTCAAATGAAGTTATTATAATATTTGAGTTTTTCAGTTCGTCTATCAAATTGTTATTAAGATTTTGAAAGTATTTTGATATTTTATATTCTTTAGAATTAGAAAAGTTAGATTCGTGGAAAACTGTTAATTCCAATATTTCGATAGTATCACGAATGGCAATATCTAGACGAAGTGATTTGAAGAGAGATGATACTGGAAGGTATTTACTGCAGTTGGAATCTGTGTAGATCAATACATCCGCACCTGCAAATGATTGAATTTTTTCTAAAATCACCGATAGTATATTGTTGTGACGTGTTGTATACTTTTTCAGGGACGAAATCGAATTGCAGTTTGACAGCACATGCTTGTTAGTTTGACGAGCCTGACATAGTGGACACAGAGCATTTGACATCTTGCCCAGCGATAGAGGTTGGCGTTTGTTGGGAGTTGTTGAATGTGAGCCTTCCTGATAAATTTGAATAAAACCTCTGGTAGACTTTTTGTGAACTTCGATCATTGACTTATGTGAATTTCTGGAATATGATCTTTAATCGCTTTAACTACAACCCTTGACATTTAAGTGATGATAGATGAACATAGTCGAACTTTCGTTGACTCGCCATTAGTGCCTTCAGTGTTGGCTTTATTTCAGCTGATTCAGGAAGGATGTTGTCTATTTTGATGTAACTGTTGAAAGATTCTTTATGTAGACATCTTATTTCTTCATTGGCATGAGTTATGAGGTAACTTCGAAGTTTGACTCTTAACGCTTCTGCGTAACTCTTCAATGACCTGATATTCAATCCTCCTGATTTAGATGGGAGTGATAGACACTCCGACACGCAGCTGCTAATTGGCAGGGCCAACCAGTTTCTAACCGATTCAGCAATCAATGAATCTAGATTGTTGCCATCCAAGTCAACGGAATGTCGTAAGTGCGAAGTTCGAATGCCAACTGGGATGGGATGTATTGTCTTAATATTTGTAATTTCCATTGTGGCGTTGTGTCCAACCCGTTTATAATTCACAACATGTGTTGGAGTCTATCGATAAGCAGCTTTTTCACCCTTGAGTCGCGTCTTTCAAAATCATAAATTTTTCCCAGGTATTCGAAACGACCATTAAGTTCAACGTCAGGTATTGCTTTATCATCGATGTTCAACCTTGGGAAAAACTGTTCGTATGTGCCATTTTTCTTTCTCATGCCAAAGGCGCAGCATTTGTCAATCCCCATACTCATTTCGGTCGCTTTGCATCAGGCTTGGTTCAGATTAATTAATTTCTGGGCACTGTCAGTGCTGTTGGCAATGATGGCCGTGTCGTCGGCAAAATGAAGCCAAGCTTTGGTTTTTAGATTGGTTGTTGGTCCCCATATATATATCCACACTGCTGAAATTTTTTTTTCAATTAGTTTCATCAACGGATTGAAACACAGATTAAACAACAGTAGGACCCCGCGTTTAACCAGAATGGGAAGAGTTAAGCTTTCACAACCAGAGACAGAGATTGAATAATCGGCATAAATATTATTTATTAAATTTTTAATATGAAGAGGAATGTGATGATAATCTAGCGTTGAGGAGATGAGGCTGTGGCTGACTTCTCAAAATGCGTTACAAAGATCTAAGAGCGTGACGATGATGGTACGTTGGTGTCTCTTAGCATCGTTGATCATGTGCGTTAACATCTGGGTTATTGTATAATAATAATAATAATAATAATAATAATAATAATAATAATAATAATAATGATGATGATGATGATAACAAT